TTTTTAGACAGAGGGGAAGGGAGAAAGAGAAAAAGAGAGAAACATCAATGTGTGGTGGGACCTGACCTACAGCCCAGACATGTGCCCTGATCTGGGGAATCGAACTGGCAACCCTTTGGTCCTCAAGTCAATGCTCAATCCACTAAGCCACACCAGCCAGGGATTTCCAGGCAAATTATACAAGCTCTGGGATTTGCTCTAAAATAATTTTTGAAAAATAGCCCTATGAGCTAAGAAAGGTTTAAATGTGCAAATGTGTTTCTGTGTGAATTTCCAAGTGGGTCTATGAAAGAGACTTGGGAGGAAGATGCTCTAGTTCATCAAGGGTCAGTTGGGCTGGGAGAAGTGTGCAGTTCTTTCTAAATCCTATGTTCCAAGCTGGGGAAAGAACCCCTAAACTGGATAGGGCTTTCCTACTTTGAAATTAAGGGGTCTGAGGGTCAAGGCAGTGACAATCAACTTTGTGGGAGAAGGTAGAAGAAGGCAAAAACCTGCAAGGACTAGAGCCTAAGTTACATATCTTCCATAAGAGTAGACACAAGATGTTAGGGTGAGATGGGGAGGGGGGGTGATGAAGGATTGATGTTCTTCATACATAATCAAGGTAACTTCATTGTGCACCTTTCCGCCTGTGGAAAAAGCCTGCAAAAGACTGGGCGGGAGAAAAGGAATCTGCCAGAGAAGCCAGAGAGAAAACCAGGGGTGGGCAGGTGGGCACATAAAATTCAGGAATATTACTTTCAAGGTAAAAAATCCTCTCTGAGCCCTGGCTGGCGTAGCTCAGTGGATTGAGCGCAGGCCTGTGAACCAGAGTATCGCAGTTCGATTCCCAGTCAGGGCACACGCCTGGGTTGCAGGCCAGTTCCTGGCAGGGAACACACGAGAGGCAACCATACATTAATATTTCTCTCCCTCTTTCTCCTTCCCTTCCCCTCTCTCGAAAAATAAATAAATAAAATATTTTTGAAAAATCCTCTCTGGCTTGTAGGAGGGATCTCTGGGTTGGCGAAAAAGACCACACAGGGCTGTCCCACTCAACTTGCTCCTGACATTAGCAGATGAGGATCTCTAGCTAGACCAGGCATTAAGAACTCTATTATCCTCTTTAACCCAACACCAAGGTCTTGGAGAGAACTGACATCTCTACAATATCAAGTCTCTCTCTGCAAGTACATAGTTTGTTTCTGTTACTTTAGATTCTCTTTAATATATTTCAGTAAAGCTTTATCATTCAAAGGCTTTGAACACTTATTGTTAAATTTATTACTAAGTACTTCATATTTTGTTGCTATTGCAAGTGGTATATTTATTAAAACTATTTTTAAAATATTTTATTTATCTTTAGAGGGGAGGGGAGGTAGAGAGGGAGAGAAATATCAATGTATGGTTGCCTCTCATGTGTCCCCTGCTGGGAACTGGCGGGCAACCCAGATATGTGCCCTGACTGGGAATCAAACTGCGATCCTCTGGTTCGCAGGCCCACACTCAATCCACTGAGCTACACCAGCCAGGTATTTATTAAAACTTTTTATTGCAGTATAACATAGAGTGCACAAACTAAGTTGACTTTCATATAGGTATACTAGTATATTCATATAACCAAATGGCAAATACATTTTTTAAAGTTATACTTTCTAACTGTTGGGTGCTGATAATAGAAATGCAATATATTTTGTATATAGATTTTTTTCTATATTGATTTTGTACCCAGCAACCTTGCTAAACTCACTTATTAATTTTATTTGAATATTCTTTTGGTGTTACTACACATGCAATAATTTCATCTGCAAATACTGACATTCTTGTTTCTTTCCAATCCTTATATATTTTTGTTGTCATTTCATGGACTGGCCAAAACTTCCATTATTGTATTGACTAGGATTATTGAGAGCAGTCGTCCTTGACTTGTTCTTCATTAAAGAGGAATGCTTTCAGCCCTGGCTGGTATAGCTCAGTGGATTGAGTGCAGGCCTGAGAACCAGAGGATCGCGGTTTGATTCCCAGTCAGGGCACATGCCTGAGTTGCAGGCCAGTTCCCAGTAGGGAACACATAAGAGGCAACCATACATTGATATTTCTCTCTCTTTTCCTTCCCTTCTAAAGATAAATAAAATAATAATAATAATAATAATAATAATAATAATAAAAAATAATAATAATAATAATAATAAATGAAAAAGAGGAATGCTTTCCATGTTTCACCAGTATTGTGATGTGTGCTGTAGGATTTTTGAAGATGTCCTTTTTCAGATTATGGGTTTTTTTTTAATATCAAAGGATGTTGAAATATTTTATTTTTTACATCAATTCAGATGAATAAACATTCTCCTTTATTGTACTAAAGTGTCCACATTTCTCCTAACATTTGCTTTTTTATTAATATTTTTTGCTACACATTTCTTCTCAGGTTTCATTTCAGTTCTCCCTCTTTACCCATCCATTAAATGTTGATCTTCTCCAAGTTTCCTCTTTTACTCCTTGGGTCCCGGGTTCTTATTTTCAAGCTTCTGTTTTATTTAGGTTTCCTAAGATACCAAAGGTTGGGGGATAAGGACAGGATTTTTAGGCATTATAAGTGTCATGCCCCCCCAGTCAGCTCCCCTCCATGAGCAGGCATGAATCAAAGTTAAAGCACTGGATTAGAGGATAGGTGGCTTGAGTTCTGGTTTTGTCAGTCTCTAATTATGTATCAAGCCCCCTGTCTTTCAGTCTCATAAATAAAATCCCTGTCCTGCCTACCACCAGGATTGATTGGAAACACAGGTGAGTAAATGTAGTAGAACCATTCTACAAATTATCCACAGGTTGTTTTTTGTTACCAGGATGGTTACAGCTTGTATTTAAAGCTAATGGAATCTAGATCCACTCCCAATCAGTGTGACTCTTTATTACCTGTAAAAGGGCATAAATGAAACAATTTTTATTGTATTCTTTCCATTACCATTTATCACTCTTAAACCCTCTTCCACCTCCACACATCTCCCCGCAACAATCACCACACTGTTGTCCTTGTCCATGAGTTTTTTTTCATTTGCTCCTGCCACCCCCACACCCAGGACTGTCCGCCTGCTCTCTATGAGTCCGTCTCTATTTTGTTTGTTCCTTCAGTTTGTTCATTAGATTCCACACACGAATGAAATAATATGGTATTTGTCTTTATCTGACCGGCTTATTTCACTTAGCATAATGTTCTCCGAGTCCATCCATGCTGTCACAAAGGGTAAAATTTTCTTCTCTTTTATGGCCAAGTAGTATTCCACTCTATAAATGTACCATTGCTGTTTTATCCACTCACCTATGCATGGACAAGGGCTGCTTCCAAATCTTGGCTGTTGTGAATAATGCCACAAAGAACATAGGAATACATATATTCTTTCGAATTAGTGTTTTTGGTTGCTTCAGATAAATTCTCAGAAGTGGAATTGCTGGGTCAAAAGGGAATTCCACATTTAATTTTTTTACAAAACTCCATACTGTTTTCCATAGTTGCAGCACCAATCTGCATTCCCACCAACAGCACACAAGGGTTCTCCTTTCTCCACATCCTCCTTAGCAATTTTTGTTTGTTGTGGAACCATTTTTAAATGGAGTCAGAGCAATCATTCTAGAGGAACTGCATTGCTCATCTTGTTCCTTGAAACTTTGGACTGGGCTAACTCCCAATTGTTTTAAACATGGGTGTCCAACCTTTTGGCGTCTCTGGGCCACACCGGAAGAAGAAAAGTTGTACTGGACCACACATTAAACACCCAAACACTAATGAAAACTGATGAGCAAAAAAAGTTTTAAGTAAATTTACAATTTTGTGTTGGGCCCCACTCATAGTAATCCTGGGCAGGGAGCTGGACACCCCTGAAGTGTCCAGGGGTGGTCCAGGGACACCCATGAAGTCAGCAGGAAAGCAGACATGCTGATCACAAGGACTGATAATTACAGACCTGTCCCAGGATAGAACTAGTAAGCCATTCTGTATGGCCAAGATTCCTCAGTTTGTAAGATTTTTTCTTCTTTTCATATAACTATTCCTTTTGTCTCATGAAAATCCCTTACTTTCCCCATGTAATTAGGATACTATTTGGGTTTCTGCCTGAATCTGTGCTTCAGGAATTGGAACTTTTAGATTTCTAAATAAACGCTCCATTCTTCAATTAATTTTTTTAAGTTGACATTCTTAACCTTTTTAAACCTTCATCTAGCTTGCAAATAAATATGAAAAGCAGTTAATTTAGGGACGATTAAACCGAGATAATGCACGTGCAGATTAGTCTGAAAAAAACGCATAAAACACCCCATAAATGGATACAGTAAAGCTTCTGTGGGTTGGAGGCTCTAAAGGTCCTAAACCGGTTCTCTTATCACCAGTAAATGGCGTCCAGGTACGGAGGTATAGAGGAGTCTGCAGAAAAAGGTCCTCCTTCCTTCCTCGATCCCACACCGACGAGCTTCCTTGGACCGTCAAACTGCACCGAAAGTACCCAAGTTTCCTAAGAAATGTCCAAACAACCTGGAAATGGGTTGGCGCCGCCACCCTCTCATCCGCGTGAGGGCGCCCGTCCCACTCTGCAGGGAGACACCGCGAAAACGCTGCAATCCCTTAAGGGGCACGAGTGCGCTCCCCACTGCAGTAGCTAAGAGGCGCTCGTCCGGACTCCAGCCCCGCAGGGGTCCTAGTTTGCGCACGCGCGATTACTTTCCTCCAGCGTCCCGCCCACAACAACAGTTACGTTCCTGGGCTTTCTCCTACGTTTTCTGAGGTTGCGGGCGGCGGCTGGAGTCGAAAGCCCAGCGTGACCCGGTTTAAGATGTCGCAAATGTGACTAATCCGCTTCCCTTCTGCGCGCCAGCGAAGCTATAACGGGAAGGCGCCAGACCGGCGGGTGTGGTCTCGGGAGGCGGAGGGCGCTGCGATTGGCCCTCAATTGTGGCGACGGCGACGATTGGCCCCTGCGTGCGGAGCGAGGTGAGTGTGGTGGCAGCCGTTGGAATTCAAAAGTGGCGGGTGTGGCGCGGAGTTAGTGGCTGAGGGGCCCTGGAGCGCTCGGGCTCTGCGTCGCGAGAGGAATAGAGAACGCGGGTCCCGGGAGCCGAGGCACCCTGTCCTCTTTCCACTGAACCTCCCTGACACGTGTGGCACGGAGCTGGACATGGAGTCGCAGGTGAGTGGGGTCGGCGGAGATGACTGCGAGCCACGGCGCTCCCCCCCACCCCACCCCGGGTCCCTGGACGCCCTATCCGCCGAGCTCCAGCCTGCCTGGAGAGCGAAGTCTGTGCTCCCCGAGTGAAAGCTGGGTTGGGATGGTTTAGGAGAGAAATTGAACGCAGTGAGTACTATGTAGGCAACACTTTTGAGGCGTTTTGCTGCAGAGAGCAACACAGAATAAAGGGCGACACAGTAGCTGGCAGGGAATGCAGAATCAAGAAACTCTTAGGTTGGGAGAAGTGAATAGCATGTGTTGCATACTAAATGGAATGAACCAGGAGAGAATGAAAAGTTGATGATGTAGAGGATAGAGGAGAGAAGGAAGGATTGCTGAAGTTCGTGAGTAGATGAAAGGGTGGATCTCTTGCGCACGGAGAAGTTGCTTTAGGGGCAGGGAAGTGGGTGTAGGAGGGGTTGGATGAATATCTATTTTTACAGGCTAAGTGCTTATGGTGATGGTGCAAAGTTGGGAGTCATGGTGTCTAGCTTTATAGATGGGAGAAAAATAAATACTGTACTCTTGAAGTTGTCCTGAATAATAAACGAACTTTTGAACACATTTTCTGAGCCCACACAAATTCCATGGTGGTAGGTCTTTTAGTAGATCCACTATGGTAGTATAGAGAGACTGCAAGACATGGGTTATTAAAAAAAAGTTCAGTGTTAGACCTTGGAAAATTTAAAGAAAAAATTGGTTTTCACACTACATTTGATTAAATTAAATTGAAATAACACTTCTGCAGGTGGCAGGAGGAAAATATGTCCCGTCCGTCTCCCCTTCTATTTGTATAGAAGCCATTGGTTTGGATGTATTACAGTTTAATTATTCTTCCACTGATGGACGTCTTTATTCCTTTAAAAATGTATTGAGTCCTACAATGTAGCAGACATTGTACTAGGCTCTCTGGTTACAGAGTTGTGAACAAAACAGATGGGTTCATGTAATGCCCATAATCTAATATAAGGATAGACAGTAAACCAATAAACCAAAGTTTAAGAAGCCAGAGTATCAAGTTGTTTCAGAGTTTTCTCTATAGCAATGCTTTGTGAACATCCTTGATTATATCTATTTGTATCACAGGTTTCCCAAAGTTGAACTTCCCAAACTAGCCTTTTGGATACTCTCAGATCTCTCTGTATTATTTCTTACAACTCATGCGAATTTACAATTATTTTAACATGAAAAGCTTAATTAAAAAACAAAACAAAACACAGCCTTTGATCCTAATTAATGGAACCATGGCAGGTATTTTGGAGTCAGCCTGGATGCCTCCATCTTCCTCACTGCCCGCCCTCCGTCTCCCTTCCCCAAGGCAGTTAGGTCAACACAGAGGTCCCTTTTATCTGAAGTTTTGCTTTTCGTGGTTTCAGTTATTCACAATCAACTGTGGTTTAAAAATATTAAATGGAGAATTCCAGAAATAAACAATTCATAACGTTTTAAATTGCATTTCATTCTGTCCAGCCTGGTACATGGATCACCCCTTTGTCCAGCCTATCCATGCTGTTTATGCCACCTGCCTCTCAATCACTTAGTAGCCGTCTCAGTTATGGAATCAACAGTCAGGGTGTTGTAGTGCTCGTGTTCTAGTAACCCTTATTTTACTCAGTAATGACTCCAAAGCTAATATATTGTTAAAAGTGTTCTGTTTTATTGGTTATGGTCATTAATCTCTAAATTAAACTTTATTATAGTTGTGTAGTTATAGGAAAAACATTTTATATAGGGTTCAGTACTCTGTGAGGTTTTAGGCAGCCACTAGGGATCTTGGAAGATATGCAGATGAGGAGGGAACTACTGCACTTGGTTTGATGTAATCCAGCCCCTTTTTGACCTTCTCTCAGATGGATTTCTACTTAGCCCTTAAACTCTTAGAACAGCCCCTCTCAATTGAGTTCTGTGAGAATTAAGAAAGCTTTAATGCCCTAAGGCATTCCTTTGTATCCAGTGAATTAACTTCTCTTAGGCACCTAGAAGGTTAAGAGCTGTATGTATCTTTGGGAGAACTGAGAAAATAGATTGCAGGGCTTAGGTCTCTTGTGGTGCCCCATTTTGGAAAGGCTGCCTTAGAAAATAAGCTCTGGGAAAGCAGAGACTTTATGTTCATTACTCTCCAGTACCTAGAAGAGCATCTGTTACAGAGCTGTCTTCCAACAAATCTTAATGCAAAAATCTTGTTGAATAAATGAATGAATGATGCAGTCTCTGCTTCTGATACCCCTCATCCTCTACTATATTCATTCTTTACTTTGCTGATAGTTCACTTTTTCAGTACAAATCTAGTCCTATTTTTCTCCTGATTAAAAGTCAACAGGGTCCCTCTTGCCGTCAGTAAACTCTGGAGTCTATCATTGCATACTGACCACTGCAATCTTTTTTCTTCTGCCTTGGTTTTCATCTCCCCACTCTCTATGCAATTCCCTGTGTTCAGCTGAACAGAACAATTTGTCATTTGTTAAATGCACTCTTCCTTGCTTTTTACCTGGAATACTCTTGGCCCAAACCCATCAAACCAACTCTTTCTCATCCTCAAGGCTCCTCGTAAAAAACACTTTTTAGAAGTGTTCTCTGACACTCTCACCATTTAAACTAGATGCCCACCCCATCCTCTGGGATCCTTTTAGGATACTGGTAAGTAAAGGTTTAATCATTTCTTTAAAATGCTTCCCTTCCCCAATGTCCCATGAGCATCTTGAGGGCACAGGCCACAGCTGTTACTCCAGAACTCAGATCATTTCCTGGCACTTAAACAGAACTTAGTACACATTGATTGAATGAGGTAAACTGAAAGGAAGAGAGAGGCTGGCCTTGGAATTAAGCTGCCTCTAGTGAAAATCAGAAGTCGATCTATACATGGTGGTTTCCTGGTGGTGGGGTTGGAGTGAGATGACTAATTGTCCCTATTTGGGTGGGAATGATCTGGTTTTAGCACTGAAATTTTATTTACTTATTTTTAGAGAGAGAGGAAAGGAGGGAGAGAAACATGGATGTGGGAGAGAAATAGCCATTGGCTGCCTCTCGTGTGCCCCCTGCTGGGGACCTGGCCCACAACCCAGGCACATGCCCTGACTAGGAATTGAACCAGAGACCTTTCAGTTTGTGCCCAACTCACTGACAACACCAGTCAGGACTCTTTGTTTCAGTACTGCTGTTAGAGTTAGCTGAAGTCAGACGTCTGTCCAGCTTCTCCCTTAGAGATTGCTCCCACTTTTGTATTGTGTCCCACTTCTCCATGCTTTTTGTTGGCACATAATCTGTGGCACAAGAGGTACAAAGTTAATGCCTGTTGGTACTGTTGAGAATTAGGCTGGGGGGCCACAAAGAGCAGTTCTTTGGACATTTGGGCTCCAGAGTGTTGTCTTAACTGGCTCTCTTTTCCCAGCAGAGGTCCCCCTTGTTGGCAGTAAAGGGGAACATAGAGTTGAAGAGACCCCTGGTCAAGGCCCATTCCCGGCTGCCTCTCCCAGGAAGGAGTTTTAAGAGAGGGCGTGACCAGATGGAGGATGTCTTGGAGCCTGAGAAGGTGAGCTGGGTTTGGATAGCTGTACAGGTACGTGTGTGTGTGTGTGTGTGTGTGTGTGTGTGTGTGTGTGTGAGAGAGAGAGAGAGAGAGAGAGAGAGAGAGAGAGAGACAGTGTATGTAAACCAATCAGGGAGGATAACTACAGACTCCTTGTGTTTCCCTAGAAAAGGACACGAGGCCTGGGCACAGCTTCCAAATTTGCTGCATCCCAACCCAGAGCACAGGTCCGCACCACAGTGCCACAGGCACAAGGCCAGACTGCAGGTGGGTTCTGGAGGTGGGCAGAGATCAGTGCTGTCCAGCTGACTTTTGCTTTTCTTCCAATTTTAGCTTATTTTGAATAGGTAATATGTTTCACTTATTTCAGAATTTCAAAGGCACAAAAGTTGTTATACTTTTGAAAAGTTTCCCTCCTACCTCTGTCCCCCAGCCACCCCGTTTCCCTCCCCAGGGACAACTGTGTGTCCTTTCAGGGATGTTCTGTGCGTAGTCTCAAGCAAGTATGACGTTCCCCAACATTTTTTTTACACAGATGTATTTTTCATATGGTCCTGGCCCCTGCTATTTTTGCTTTTCTTGGTCCAGCTTGTTTCTTGGCATGTTCAATAATTTCTGGTCCTAAGACAGGATATCTTTAGGGGCTAGGGGAAGAGGGAAGTTTTTTTATTTCTAATCCTCAGTAAAAACTCCTCTGCCCCTGGCCTGGCCAGAGTACATGCCATCCTGAGAGTGATGATTCTTTTACCTCCCTCCCATTTCCTGACAGCTCCAAAACTTCCCAAGAAGACAGGACTCCGATGTTCCACAGCTGTTGCCACAGGTAATTAGTCAGTTCTTAAGAGCTGGGCTGAGAAGGGGTGTGAGGTGCGTGTAAAGGGAAAATGGTGGAAGCGGAAGGTCACTGTGCTATAATTCCTGATGTCAATTTCCCAATATTCTAGTGTTGAAGAATCAGAAGCCAGACCCTGCTGCTCCTGCGCAGAAGCCTGGCAGTAGGTGACAAACACAGCTGTTGGGTGAGAGGCTGGGGTAGGGAAGAGAAGGTGGTGAGTACCCAGAAGAATCCATTTGGTCCCTCCCTATCTGGAGGAGAAGAAGATGTAGCATCAGGTGTGGAGGCCCTAAAGGCTAGGAGGGAGGAGAAATAGGGAACCAGGACTCCCTTGACTTTTGTCCTTTCTGTGCCCATCTTAGCAGCAGCTGCTTCTCCCAAGCTTGAAGGGAAGAAACCCAAGAAACGTCCAGCCTGGGACTTAAAGGGTCAGTTATGTGACCGAAACGCAGAGCTGAAGTGCTACCGTGAGAAGGCTCGGACTTTGGACCAGGAGAACCAGCAGCTTCAGGACCAGCTCAGGGAAGCCCAGCAGCAGGCGATGGACCTGGGGGCAGAGCGCAGGACACTAGAAGAGGAGTTGTCCAGGGTACGGGCCCAGGCTGAGCAGGGCCAACGGGAGCTGGGGAACCTGAGTGCTCATGTCCTGGATCTAGAAGAGCGGCTGAGTACACAGGAGAACTTGGTGGAAGAGCTCCAGAAAGAACAATTGGGGTTGCAGGAGGAGCGGAGGGGACTGGCCACCCGGCTAGAGGAGCAGGAGGTAAGGGCCAGCTTCTCACCAAACGTTGCTCTAGGTTTGGGCTTAGAATCCCTGACCTCCTCTGTCCGGCAGCATACCTCTGTCCTCAGCCCTTCTTCTCCCCTCCATTTTTGTTGTTTCCCTAGTCTGTGTCTCCTCTGTTCCTCCTCCATCCCTCTCTGTCTTTCCTGATCGAAAACCCTGGAGCATTCTCTCTCGCTCTTCTCATGTCCATTCAACTCCTTGGTGAGCACCAACTGGATTGAATCACTCATTCAATGGTCTGAAGGGACTCAATTCTCACTCAGGGGATTTTGCATATGCGCTTTCGTCTTTGTGGAATGTTCTTTCTATACTGCATCCTTTCCTTGGTTTACTCCTATACTTTTGGGTGTCAGCCTAGACATTACCTTCCCATGCACCTTCTGGATAGGCCCATTGCCCTCCCTATTCTAATACCATGATTCCTTTTTTCTTAAGTCTTTCTTTAGCAGACTGTGAAGTCCTTGGAGGCATGGACCACCCCCCCTCCCCCCTCCACCTACCCCATCATGACTTGTTCTGATTCTTGGTTTCATCTTGCCCTCTGTGTCTGTTTTGTTCTGGGCAGAGGAGGCTTCAGGCATCAGAAGCAGCTCTGTCAGGCAGCCAAGCAGAGGTGGCATCTCTACGCAAGGAGGCTGCAGCCCAGGTGGCTTTACTAGCTGAGCGGGGAGAACGTCTCCATTGGCTAGAGATGGAGCGCCGACGACTACACAACCAGTTACAGGAGCTCAAAGGCAACATCCGTGTTTTCTGTCGGGTCCGCCCAGTCCTTCCAGGGGAGCCCACTCCACCCCCTGGCTTCCTCCTGTTTCCCTCTGGCCCTGGTGGGTCCTCTGATCCTTCAACCCACCTCAGCCTCTTCCGGTCTGATGAGCGGCGTGGGACCCTGAGTGGGGTGCCAGCTGCCCCCACCCGCTATGACTTCTCCTTTGACCGAGTATTCCCACCAGGGAGTGGACAGGACGAAGTGTTTGAGGAGATTGCCATGCTTGTCCAGTCAGCCCTGGATGGCTACCCCGTATGCATCTTTGCCTATGGCCAGACAGGAAGCGGCAAGACCTTCACAATGGAGGGTGGGCCTGGGGGAGACCCCCAGTTGGAGGGACTAATCCCCAGGGCCCTGCGGCACCTGTTCTCCGTGGCCCAGGAGCTGAGCAGCCAGGGCTGGACCTACAGCTTTGTGGCAAGCTATGTGGAGATCTACAATGAGACTGTTCGAGACCTCCTGGCCACTGGGACTCGGAAGGGACAGGGGGGTGATTGTGAGATTCGCAGGGTAGGGCCAGGGAGCGAGGAGCTTACTGTCACCAATGCCCGCTATGTTCCTGTCTCCTGTGAGAAAGAGGTAAGCACTGATGGCACTGTGACTGGAAAATGGGGAGGAGTGAACAGGGTGATATGAGATGGAGGTGGATAGAGTAGGGAGCAGGAGAATGTTGGAGGATGAAAGGGAGGGGAGAGGTGTGGATCCGTTGCCGCATTCAGTTTGGCCTTGGGAACTATGAGGTAGATCTGCCTTAATAACTGGGGAGTGGGGAGGAGAGAGGCACCTGCTAATGCAGGGCTGTGCCGGCCCCCTGACCACTGCCTCTCAGTGCTTATTTCCTACTACTCTCCTTGCTCACTACACTCTAGCCGTGTTGGCTCCTTGGCTTGTTCCTCAATCTGCCATTCATACTCCTATCTTGTATCAGGGCCTTTGCTTACTACTTCCTTTTGCCTTAATGATCATCTGCTGGAATTGCTTGTTCCCTTAAGATCTGACCCTCCTATCTAAAATTGCAACCCTCATGTCATCCTCACGCTCTATTTCTCTGTTTTATTTTACTCTTTAGTACTCTCAGACATGTTTTGTGTTTTACTTATTTGTCTCTTCACTGGCTACAAAGAAAGCTTCCAGAATGCAGGACTGACTCTTATTCATTGCCATTCCCAACCTTGCTCCATACTGACTTCCTGCCTACCTTTACCGTTGCTCTTCCCCCTCCATAGGTAGAGGCTCTACTCCATCTGGCCCGCCAGAACCGGGCTGTAGCCCGCACAGCCCAGAATGAGCGCTCATCACGCAGCCACAGTGTGTTCCAGCTGCAGATCTCTGGGGACCATGCTGGACGGGGCCTACATTGTGGGGCCCCCCTCAATCTTGTGGACCTGGCTGGGAGCGAACGACTAGACCCTGGCTTAGCCCTTGGTCCTGGAGAGCGGGAACGCCTTCGGGAAACACAGGCCATTAACAGCAGCCTGTCCACACTGGGGCTCGTCATCATGGCTTTGAGCAACAAGGTGGGAATGGGGTTGGGGCAGGTAGGAACTGGGGCTAACTGTGCTGAACCCTGTCCAATCATAATCACTGTCCCCTTCAACTTTGTAGGAGTCCCATGTGCCATACCGGAACAGCAAACTCACCTATCTGCTGCAGAACTCTTTAGGTGGAAGTGCTAAGATGTGAGTGAAAGGAATAGATGGAAGGGATCGTGTGGGAACTATAATGTTGGGGTCAGGGGTGGGCTCAGACCTGGTCCAGGTCCCACCTGGCCACTAATGCTGGAGTTTGGCCCCCTCTCCTCTCTCCACAGGCTCATGTTTGTGAACATTTCCCCCCTAGAAGAGAACGCCTCTGAGTCTCTCAACTCCCTACGCTTTGCCTCCAAGGTGCGGGTACCACCAAGCCCAGGCCCTGTCAGGATGCCCGGGTGACTATGGGTTTTTCCATCTCAACCCCTTCTGTCCTTTAGGCCAAGGGCACATTCATCCAGAAAGGATTTACACTGGCCAGTCATCTGCAGCACAAACCCACCTAGACTGATTTTTAACTATTGGCTTTGGGGATTTTCAATTAAGTTATTAAAAATAGGTAGTTAAAAGGTCAAAATTACATAAAAAGCTATACATTTCTATCTACATTTTCCTCCCCACCTGTCATTTTTTATTTATCACTTTACTAATTCTAATGTTTTCTTTTGTAAATATAAGCAATATGCATGTGCTTATTCTCCTCCTCCTCATATAAAACATCTCTCCGTTTTACATATATGTTATTCTGTACTTTGTTTTGCTTACCAAGGCTGCCTCCGGATCACTGCCCTTTAGCACACAGGAATCATCCAATTGTTTTTACATCTGCCTAGGACTCCACTGTTTAGATGGACCAAAGTTTATTCACCAGTTCCCCCTACTGGACACTTGAATTCCTTCCATCCTTTTTCTGTTACAAACAAGGCCATGTTGACTGACCTTGTGTGTATATAATTTTCTATTTGTTGATTACATCCAAATGTCTAAGGAAGGATTCCTTGAAATGGGATTGCTGGATCAAAAGAGACTTAGAGGTTTTTCACACCATTCCAAATAGTGTGAGTTCAGGCTCCAGACCTCATGAGGGTCAGCTGTGGCCATGGCTGTGCATTCTCTAGGAGACTTAATGCTCCTTCCACTAGAACTAAGTTTCTTTACTGTCTGCCTCTGAAAGGTAATTTTTTTCTCTCTGGTTACTTATTTCCTGAGGCTATAGCCTCATGATGGGTGCTGGCTTTATTCAGGGTCTCTGATCGGGTGTGCACTTCTGCTACACTGGGGCTTGAGCCTTTGTTGTGGAAGTCATCAAGCCACCTTAGCACCCTTACCTGGTGTTCTGCTTTGATCAGGATTTCCCTTGCTATCTGACAACTCAGTTAATATCCAAACAACATGAATTCTTTAGTATCCAGTTTATATTACATTTCACCTGATTGTCTCAGAAATGTCTTTTATACATTAGGCTTGTTCTAATTCGGATCCAAAGCAAGGGCCACCCGGATTATTTAGTTGACATCATCTCTTAAATATCTCTTAATCCATAATAACTCTACTTCCTTTATTTGTTAAAGAAATAGGATCATTTGTCCTATAGAATAATCTGGATATTGCTCCCTCTTCATAATTTTTGTTGACTTGTTTGTTGATTAGATTTGAATCAGGTTTAAGTTTCTTGGCAAGAAAACTTGCCAAGGGTGGTCACTTTTCTGTTGCATCATATCAGGAGGCAACTAAAATCTAGTTTTTCATGTTTAATGATACAAATATTAATCATTGGATTTCGGTGTTGTCAGCCTGATCTATTAAAAAAAACTATCTATCAACTTTTTCACCTGGTGATTTTATCAAGCAGTGATTCTACCCAGGTCTGTTATTTCATTAGGGAGTGTTAAAATTTTGATTTTTCTAATTTTCTATGTTCTACATTTATTAGTCCGGGTTTTATAAAGTACTTTCCCTTTCCATCTATTTGGTTACTCTGAAATTCAGTCCATATGGGAAAGGCAGGATAAGTGCTGAATTCTTGATCAATTTTCAGTATTATAAATTGATACCCTGGCAACTTCCAAAGGTGACCAGTGAGTTTCCATTAGGTGTTATCATTTTACACATGGTTATATATTTGATATATGTCCTTTGCAGTTGTCATTCTGATGCTTAAATTGCTTTATCTTCATCCAGTGGAGCGCTTCATCTTAGTTTTTGTGTCCTTTTGGTCCCCAGTAGTCTGTATTCCAGGTTTATCTTGTACATTTTCTGCCCTAGGCTAGGAATCATGGATTTTCCAAGGAGTCTTGGTTCCTGAATGAGTATCGTTATTGTGCCATTTAGTTGATTAAACATTAGTGGTGGGAGGGCTTTGAGGTTTCTAGTCCATGATATTGCTAGAAGTGAAAGTTTCTTCTGTCTCTGCTTCTGTGCTGGTCTTTGTCCCTACTCAGGCCTTTTCACCTCATGTAGACCTAGTGTGTCTAGGAGAGACTACCTATAGTGTGTCACACTGGGAGAACTAACTATAACCGAGACCAGCGTGAACCTGTCTTCAGAGTCCTTATTTCAGTATTCTCTGAGTACAGCCCTAATATTAGGGGCTGGGAGGTGGTCTTCGGAAACTGAGCATCTTGGTTATTCTGAAAACATTTTTATCTTGTCTGTACCCCCTGCCCACAGGTGAACCAATGTGTTATTGGTACTGCCCAGGCCAACAGGAAATGAAGACCGATCCAGATTCTCTGAGAGTGATGATGGTGGGGCTAAGGGATGCTTTTTGGGGGATGGAGGGTACAATGTGTTATGTGGGCCTAGCAAATAAAAGTGTTTTTTTCCTCTCTTAATAAAGATTTTGTTAGCAGTTGCCCAAGAAAGGAGATATTTTTCATATCTGTGAAGATGGGAACTGTCACTCTACCCAGCATTTACGTGTTTTGCAGAGTTACAGCCTCTTTTCTCCTGACAAGCCGTCCTATGTAGTCTGGGGGCCCTTCAGCTCCCATACCCCTGTCGGCCACCTGTAGGAGGTGTGACCCTTAGCTCTCCCGCTTGCCGCAGACTATCTTAACCCAAGAAAGGCGGCAACCAGAGCCAAAAGACGGGACTCACCCTCCCATTAACTGACGACTCTTTCCTCCCGCCCTTTCCCTGCCTTCCCATTCGAACGGCCTGGGCTGGCCCTGCCCGCTGTCCATTGGCTGGTTTTCTGCGGCGTCACGGCTTCGCTGCGGGCCCTCCTGGTCTGCGCCCCTGCTCGGCAAGCGCAGGGCCGGAATCACGCCTGCTGAGCCCCTCCCGCCAACCGACAAAGGCCACCTCCCCAGAAAGGAGGGGCTCGGTCTTCCTAGGTTCCGCGCGCGGGAGGGGTCACGCGTGCGCAGAAGCACAGAGCTGACTTGCCACCGGGAGGGTGGGGCCGGGGCAAAGGCGGGAGAAGAGGGCGTGGCAGGGGCAAAGGGAATGGTGAATGGAGGGTGGGGTCATGGACTGGGGTGGCAGAGGGATGGGGGGCGGGACTTAAGAGCGACCATGGAGGTTGGGGGCACAGTTAAGAAATGGGGCGGGGACCAGTCCGGAGACCGGCTGCTGGGAGGGGTGAATTCCCTCCTGCCACCAGTGCAGGTCTCCCTTAGGAGGAAGGGGCTTCTGGGATTCCCTTTCCAGCCGGGTCCGACTGTCCGCCCGCCCAACCGCAGCCAGGTTGCCGCTGGCCGGGCACCCTCCTGGCCTGCTGGAGGTGAGGGAAGTGGGGTGAGGTGGTGCCCGCACCGCCCCCAACCCCCCTCCAGCTCCTCCTCTCCAGTCCTCCCCTCCCACCACCCTCCCCCTGAGCCGGTTTGTCCCTCCCCTCTTTTCCCCTCCTTCCCCCGGACGCCTCCTCCTCCTGCTGCCGCTGCTTTGGCTGCTGCGTCATACGCCCCAGAGCCGTCGGGACGAAGGGGTTGGGCCTGGGGACCCCCTGGCCTCTGCCTGCACGCCCCTGACGCTCAGACGTCCTCTCCTGCGCCGGGGTTTTGCCTCGGTGTCCCAAGTCTGCCTCTGCCCGGCTCCCGGCGGCCCCAGCTGTCACTGGTAAGGAAGCGGCAGGAGGTGCTCCTGGGGGGGGGGGGGGCGGTGCGGCTGGGAGCCCGGGGTCAGCGCGCAGAGCGCGGGCGAGAGAGCCTCCCCGCCCTGGCGTCGGGTCGGGCTGGGCCGATTCAAGTCCCGTATTGGACTCTCGGTCAAGGGTAGTAGAGACCGCGACTGGGACACGCCCCCCTCCCGAGGCTCTCAGGGAAGTTATCTAACCCGAGGGCAGGGAGCCCCGAATTTGAGGGTGACCTGATATAACCTGGCACCCGGATGATTGTTCTGAATGAGACACGCGGGCCTGGGGAGGTAGCTGTCTACTCTGGAAAATATTTCCAGAAAAGCTCCCAAAATATGTCTCTGTGTAGCAGAGCACCCTGCGATGATACCTTTAAACAGCAGGAGAAGGTGACAGTAGAAACTGAGTAGTAACATTTGCTTCTGCAACCATCGTTTCTGTTAAAATCTCAAGGCCAGGATATAATACCCCAGGGGAGCTCTGGAAGCTGGGAAGCTAGAGGAGGGTGGTTGTTAAGGAGAGGAGCCCCAGTCACCATAGTTGGAAGAGATGGAGTCAGGAAGCTCAGGAGTGGTTTCCTATTGAGTGGTTTCCTATCCAGGTGTCTCAGGGATTTGGAGACTGGGGCCACAGCTGCTTGAGTCCTTGACAGAAAAATAGGCAAAGAAAATAAGGAGTGTTTTTCAGCTTTCATAACTCGCATTCCACTCCTGGCTAGGCCCCCCCAGGATGCAATGGCACAGCCCCCCCGGCTGAGCCGCTCTGGTGCCCCCCCACTTTGGGATCCAGCTTCTCCTGCTCCCACCTCTGGCCCCAAGCCTCGACTTTGGGAGGGTCAAGATGTTCTGGCCAGATGGACAGATGGGCTGTTATACTTGGGGACCATCAAGAAGGTAAGACCTTTGACCTCTGACCTGTCACCTTCCCCCATTTCCCTTATCTAGTCCTGATTCCCATTTTTACCCTCTGCCCTCACCCATTCCAGGTGGACAGTGCTCGGGAGGTGTGTCTGGTCCAGTTTGAGGATGACTCCCAGTTTCTGGTTCTATGGAAAGACATTAGCCCTGGTGAGACCCCAGAGGCCTGAGAGTGTACATCCCGCGGAAGACAGAAACCTGACTTGGGGGACAGAAAGGGGCTTAAGAACAGACTCCATCCCCCTACCCCCCACCCTAACGCTGTATTCCCTCACAGCTGCCCTCCCTGGGGAGGAACTCCTCTGCTGTGTCTGTCGCTCTGAGACTGTGGTCCCTGGGAACCGGCTGGTCAGCTGTGAGAAGTGTCGCCACGGTGAGAGGGCAGGATACCTGAATGGTCCAGCTTGTCCTGGACATTACAGGCTGCCTCTGACCCTTCCCACTGGTACTGGTCCTTATGCCACCTGGCCAGAGTCCTCAAGCCACTGCTCTGACCAGTCTCCTCAATCCTGTAACCTTAGTTCCTGTTCAACACAGGGAGAGGCAGCCATGGAATGGGGATGTGTGAACTTCACAGGCAGAGGGTGGTTCAAATCCTCTTTCTAAAGCATATGACTTTGGGCAAGTCTCTAAAGTACTAGGAACCTCAGTTCTCTCACTTATAAAATAAGGCTAATAATCTCATCCCCAAATAGTACCACAGTCAAGGATTAAATGAGATAGACTCTTCTCCCAATACCTAGTACACAGGTTTACAATTCAGTAAGTGCTCTACCATCAATATCATTATTCAGCTTATCACCAGGACTGCCATGTTCCAAGGGCCCCAGCCCCTGGAGAGGGAGAGGGCACATCTTGGGTCTGCCGCCAGTGCGTCTTTGCCATCGCCACCAAGGTAAAAGCACCTTCCTATGAGAGTCTCCCACCCACAACCTCTCCCCAAGCCTTTCCTCTACCCACCCTCTGAGGTGGCCTACCTGTTCTATTTCTGCAGAGGGGCGGTGCACTGAAGAAGGGCCCCTATGCCCGGGCCATGCTGGGTATGAAGCTATCTCTGCCATATGGACTGAAGGGGCTGGACTGGGATGCTGGACATCTGAGCAACCGGCAGCAGAGCTACTGTTACTGTGGTGGTCCTGGGGAGTGAGTAATGAGGGGCAGGGGTTAAGGAACAAGTGATGTGGTGTGGTGATGTGGGAAATCCCAGGGAATGCAAGAGAAAGAACAGGGAAGGGTATGGCAGTAGATAATGATCAGGGTTTGGGGCTGTTAAGAGGGCAGGTATCTGGAGGTCACTAGTCCTGTGTGCCCCATCAGGTGGAACCTGAAAATGCTGCAGTGCCGGAGCTGCTTGCAGTGGTTCCATGAGGCTTGCACCCAATGTCTGAGCAAGCCCCTCCTCTATGGAGACAGGTGAGACCAGGGCAGACTCTCCAGGAGCCCAGGGAGCCCTCTTGATCTGTCCCACCCTCTCTCAGTTTCCCCACCTCTGCCTGTGTCATCTGTTCTCTTCCCAGCCCCTGAAGCGTTCATTAGTTCATCCTACCCAGCTTCGTGAGTCTTCGATAGCATGACACCGTTTTCCTGTTTGATGTGTTCTCTCCGTCTTGTTCACACCTAGGTTCTATGAGTTTGAATGCTGTGTGTGTCGGGGGGGGCCTGAGAAGGTCAGGAGACTACAGCTTCGCTGGTGAGCATGACCTCAGTGTAACCCTTCTCTCAACTCCCCATTTTTCACTGTACCTGCCCAACCTCCCACTCTGGACTCCCTCGGCTTTTGTGATGCTTCCACAACCTTGACAACTCAATGCTTCTCCAGGGTGGACGTGGCCCATCTTGTCCTGTATCACCTCAGCGTTTGCTGTAAGAAAAAATACTTTGATTTTGATCGTGAGATCCTCCCCTTCACCTCTGAGAACTGGGACAGTTTGCTCCTTGGGGAGGTAAGGGGTAGTGAAACTTTGGGGGTTATGGTGGAATAAGGAGATGTGAAGAAAAGCGGGGAGGGATCACTGCTTCCTTGACCCTACCTTCCCTCCCCTTCCCCAGCTCTCAGACACCCCGAAGGGAGAACGTTCTTCCAAGCTCCTCTCTGCACTCAATAGCCACAAGGATCGGTAAGTTGAAGAGAGGCTTAGAAAGGTACAGAGATGTGGATATAGAAGGCTGGGAGGGGAGGTGCTGAAATCCATCTGGAAGATCATCTCTGGAAAAGATTGAGTAATGGCAAACGAGAGGCCATTTTCTCCAGTACTGACCTGTATCATTTCTCTCCTCACCCCAGTTTCATTTCAGGGAGGGAGATTAAGAAGAGGAAGTGTTTGTTTGGTCTCCATGTTCGCATCCCTCCTCCTGTGGAGCCCCCTACTGGAGATGGAGCCCCTACCAGGTCACTGGTCCAGGGGGCATGGGGAAATTCTCAGGGTATTAATCTGGGGATAAATATATATGAAGATGGGGAAGTCTTTGGGGTGGTCCGGGAGGGGGCTGGGGGGATAAGGAGGCCTCTTACAGCTTCCCTTCAGGGCAGGGCCCAGGGGGAGGGGTTCCACGTCCCCTGGGGAAGCGCCGGAGGCTGGAGCCAGAGCCCCTGAAGAAGCAGGAGAAGATGGAGGAGCTGGGGCCACCTTCAGCAGTGCACAATCAGTCAGAGCCCCAGGAGCAGAGGGAGCGGGCCTCTCTGCAGAAAGCACTGCAGGTACAGAGACCTGGGGAGTCCCTTGGGGAAAATGCCGATATGGGAAGGAATCAAGGGTTATCTCTCAGTCCTTTGCTCCTACCTCTAGGCTTCAGTGTCTCCACCACCCCCCAGCTCTAACCAGAGTTACCAGGGCAGCAGCGGCTACAACTTCCGGCCCACAGATGCCCGCTGCCTGCCCAGGTCAGTACTCCTACCCACTCCAACTAGATCTGCTCCTTGACAATCTCTCCTCCAGTTATATATAGCCTCTGGACTTTCTCACCCATAATTCTTTTCCCTCTACCCCTTGGCTACCCACTTCTTGTCCTAGAGAGACTTCTAGAAACAATGTCTGAACCCCAGTGTCTTGGGGATGGGGATTCCTCAGGGGCAGTGTTAGAGCTGTGCTTGGATAGAATGTCCTGTTCCCCTGCTTCAGGTCCTGACTTCTCTTCCTTCCCAACCCCAGCAGTCCCATCAGGATGTTCGCTTCCTTCCACCCTTCTGCCAACACTGCAGGGACCTCTGGGGATGGTGAACCCCCAGACAGGTGAGGTTTTGCCCCTTTACCTTTGACACCCCTCAGCCTCTGTGTTCTTAAGGTCCTCAGTCTCCAACTATTTCATTTTTCTGATTCATATATCATCTGTTTCTGGTCAGTAATTACCTGTGTGACTGGACTCACAATTGCCTTCTCTCCTCAGGTCACCCCTGGAACTTCACATTGGTTTCCCCACAGACATTCCTAAAAGTGCCCCTCACTTGATGACTGCCTCATCTTCCTCAGTCCCAGCCCCCTCCCCAGGTCTTCCTAGACGCTTAGCAACCTCTTCTCCTCTGTGCCGTAGTTTGTCTCCAGGTACTGGGGGAGGAGCCAGAGGTGGGGTTGGCTATCTGTCCCGAGGGGATCCGGTCAGGGTCCTTGCTCGGAGAGTACGGCCCGACGGTTCTGTGCAGTACCTGGTTGAGTGGGGAGGTGGGGGCATCTTCTGAACAGCCTGCCTCTGCCCACCTCCCCATTCACACACACCGGCACTTTTGTACCCTGACCTCTGACCTCACCTGCAGCTGGGATGTACCTGGGGAGGTAGGGGGTAGTTCTCCCTACCGCCCAGGCGGAATCCAGGTTGGGGAGTGGAGAAGAGGTTCTCTCTTCTCTACTCCCTTCATGATTCCTGAGCTTCCCCCCACCCCCCTTTCCCATTTCCTTTGATGTTATTTTGTTACAGCTTTTAAAATATTTTTAAAAATTATTTAATCCCTGGGGACGGAGACTGAGGAGGGGAGGGATGATAAAGGATCCCGGGTTCTGTATGATTGAAATAAAGATAAACAAATCTAGCAGTTGAGTCATTCTGAAAGATACTAGCACAGGTACTAGAAACACTTCTAATCTTCCCAACCAGATTCACATATGTTGACAAGAAAAGGCAAAGGCAGAAAAAATCAAAGACAGGATTTATTAGCCCAGTCATCCCCTGGAAGTCAGAGCATAGAGGTATATAAGGGGAACATGGCAGGAGCAGGGCTCATCATGGTAGAGGTGAGTTGGAATTAAAAACTTGACTCTGTAACCTGGTGCACCCAATGCAGGTATGGGGAGTTTCCCTGCTCCACAGGCAATGCAATCACCTCAGCCACTTCATAAGGATGCACAGAGCTGCAAAAAAAAAAAAAGAGGGAAGGGTGTCACTCAAAGATGTACTCAAAGAACCCCCCCATCCCCTCAGACTGCCCTGTAAGTCCCATCCCACAGTACCCACCCTCACCCCAGCCATCTCAAAGGTCTCACCGAACAAAATCTGTCAAAGCTGGAACCAGGGAACTTCGCGTTTTAATCATCTAAGGGGGTGGGGGGGACAAACAAGGTTGAATCCCAGGGTGGGGTTGATTTTGTGATCTCTTGAGGGCAAGGGGTCATAGGGAACAGAATTAAAGTTTTTTAGGGTGGGGAAATGATTCTCACCATCAGCACCTCACTGTCTTCTTCAATCTTGCCTTTCCACTCATAGCTGTAAAGGTCAGGGAAAGTATTATGGGAGCAAAGATTTTTTTTACCCAAGGAAAGTTTGCCAGTCAGCCCCTAGAGTTAGGTTAACTGTGAACTCCTGGGACTCACATGGATGTAATCTGAGGGATGAGGTTGACGCAGGCTGCCAGGCGCTTCTCCACCACTGCCCTACAGGTGAAGAGAGCCCCATTTAGAGCACCCCATGACTCGGATTTGTGCACCGCCAGCCCAGAGACGGGTTTCCAAAGCTGGAGCACCCCCAACTCTCCTTTCAAGATCATCCTTTCTCCACGCTGTAGTTCCCACCTAGCTATCTCCTTGGCGACCTTCTCATTGGGGCAGGTGACAAAGGCTGCAGAGACCGAACCAGGAACGTAGCTGGAGTCAGAGGCCGTCGAGGGCTGGGGAGGGGGACTTCCTGAAGCCATTGACAGCAGGGCTCGGGGTAGCAACAAAAGGCAGGAGGCCACAGGGAGCAGCGCCGGCATCTAAAGAAGCCACAGGAGGGCAGGCAGCGAATTTGGTCTCCCCACAAATACCCCAGGCAACAGCTCCCCAGAAATCCTTCGCTTGTACAGACACTTGGCTTTTGCCCTCTAATGCACCCGAAGGAAAAGGTCCCTGAAGCTGAGAGAGAGAGAGAGAGAGACCTTAAAAAAATTAAGGGAAACGCTCAGTTTTTATTCCCTCAGGCCAACCTCCTGGATTTGGGGTACGGGTTGTGGTGGGCGAGGCCTCGAGGTCTGGGGGGGCGCAGGTCACTCACCCCTCCGCCGAGCAGGACTGCCGGAGCCCGCACCCCCCTCATGCAGCCTACGCTGCTACAGGAGCTCTGAACATCAAAGGCCGCAAGCAACGCCGAGAAAAAACCCCAAACCGAAGAAGAGCGGCCTCTTCTTACCTGGGCGGCAGCCACGTGATAAGGAAACAACACACACCACGTGACAGCAGGACTGACACCACGTGACAGCAGGACTGGCACCACGGGAGCCTCTAGAGCCAGCCAATCCCGGCTCCAATGGGGCCCAGTTTGCCCCGCCTTGTGGAGGAGGAGCGAATAGGAGCTGACCAATTGACAAGCGAATCTGCAAGCTTGTACGGAAATGGCACGCCGGTTTCCGTGTGAGCCGAAAAGGGCCAATTGCTCGCTCTGGTCGGTCGCTGCTTCTGCTGCTACAGCTGCTTCTGCTTCTGCCGCTGCCGCGTTCTTGTGTCACGTGAGGAGGTCGGGCCTTGGTTGGCTGCATCACCGTGAGCGACGCGGAGAAGCCAATAGCAAGCCAGCTCCGCAGACAGTGTGATGAAAGAATTGTGATAAGCCGGGCTGTGGGTCCCGCACACTCGATGCGTCAGGTTGTGGAGTGGGGGGTTCATTCTTCATCCCAAGAGTGTGCCTCGTAACAACCCCTACACTGTTCCCGAGACCTGAAGGAGTGGGAGGGTCTGAGAAAGCTGAAGCGCCCCCTGCCCTTTTGGCTAGGACCGACACCTGCCTGAGTTCGGGAACGAACAATGATAATCTCAGAAGCCAACTATTCCTGGGGGCAGTGATTAGGCAGGCGCTGTCGTGGCTAGACCATGGCTGGGTGAGAAAAGGCTCATTCTAAAAGGACAGCGTAAGACCCCATAAATGGATAAAAATGGGGCTACCGGCGCCTTGGCCTTCCTAATTTGAAACGCCAAAACTGGAGACAGATTGGTGAATCCAGAAAAAGAGATGAGGGCTGCAGGCTGGGGATTAGGGAGAGGGCACCAGGAAGTAGTGATGGACCTTTCATCCCGTATCCCCTTCCTGTTTCACTCTTCAGGGCTGGTCTACCTGTCGGCCTTGGGTCTCCGTCCCTTAACTCATCCCCCTAGAAGTCAGGACCTGCCTTACACATCCTGTGACCAAAAAATGGAAAGGGCCAGTAAGACGAGAGAGCGGTGAAAGGACCAAGTAGAGAAAAGGGCTCTTGCCTCTCCGTTTACCCAGTATCCCTCCTCCTCCTTCCAAGGTCTGGGGTCTCGGGTCAGCTGGGTGAGTGTGACTGGGCATTTCCCAGGCTGATATCAGACTTCTCTTATACCTGCCTCTCTGGGGTTAGGGTCTCCCCGAGATTTCTGACTCTGGTTTGAAGTTTGTCGCTGAGACATTTTTGTGTGGTCTTTCAGTGTTGCATTGGTTTCTTTCTCAGGACCCGGTTTCCTTTTGTTTTTCTCTTTTAGGTATTTGTTTTTCAGGGTCTGTGATCACTCTCCAAGGTCTCTCAAAGTCTTTATGAATTTGAGGTCACTGAGTTCTCCATCTCTGAATTAGCTGTCTTTCCTTCTTTCTTCCTCTCTCCCCCTTCTCCTTCCCCGACCCCCAACCCCAAGGTCTGGAGTTTTTTGAGTTACCAGTCTCTGAGTCTGCAGTTTCCTTTCTGTGAGATCTAAGTCGGGGGTCTCTGATGTGAGTCTTGAGTTCTCTAATTCTATGTCTGGGTTCTTTCTGAATATGGGTCTTTTTCTGTTGAGTCCAGGTTTCGGGTCTTGGTCCCTGAAATTACCATTTGAGTCTGTGACTATGAAGGACCTTTTTGAGACTGGTTGTTCAGATTTTGACCCCTCTCTCAAGGAGATCTAGATTGGGGGGGGCGTCGTTTTTTGTTTTTTACTGAGTTTGAGGTCCGTTTCCGTCTAGATTTTGGATTTGTGCCTCAGATTAACCCCCCATCCCCCAACCCATCCCACCGCCCCCGGGGCGTCAAGGTATCTTTCTCTGGGTCTGCATCTTTAGAACTGTCTTTTCTGTCTCTGGGGTTTTCGACTCAGGGGTCTCTGTCTCTCTGGTTCTTACTGGGTAGGGGTGGGGGCTGCAGTCTCTTTCTCCTCCTCCTCCTCCTCCTGCTCTCCTCTCTCGCTCACTCCCCCGCCCCCCTCTTTCTCTCTCCCGGCTGCCGCTGCTGCCGTTGGCTCCTATTCTCCTCCTCCTCCTCCTCTCTCCTCCTCTCTGCTCCACTCCGCTCCTCTCTCCTCCTCTCTCCTCCTCCTCCACCTCCTCCTCCTTCTCCCCCTCTCTCTCCCCCTCTTTCTCTCTTCTCTTTCTCCCCCGTCCCCCGCCCCCTCCCCGCCCCCCCGCCCCAGGCCTGATGAGCAGGTCTCGCGCCTCCATCCACCGGGGGAGCATCCCCGCGATGTCCTATGCCCCCTTCAGAGGTACGTTGGTGAGGGGAGGGGGAGGGCCAGTTGGAGGGGGTAAAGGGGGGAGGGGCAGGGCTGAGGAGGGGGCAGAGCCGAGGCCAGGGAAGAGAGCAGCTGAAATGGAGGGAGACAGGAGGACTGGGAAGACAGGACAGAAGCAGTGAGGGAGAAGGGATTGGAGGCCACAGCACAGGGGTAGATAGGAACCTGAGGGGCCAGGAAATCGGCCTGAAAGGGGGCTGAGGTGAAAATGGTGAAGGGGAAAGAGAGCGCCAGAAAGGGTGGGAAGATAGGGTTGGTGGGAAAGCGGCAGAAGCAGTTTAGAGATGGGAACTGAAAGATGTGGAAAATATCAAGGAAATAGAAGGGCAGAGTCAGGAGAGGGGCTTTGAGGGGGAAATGAAAACACAGGGGTGCAAAGAGAAGCCAAGAAGATGGGGGTCAGAATATGGTGGCAGGGCTCAAAGAATGGAATGGGGTAGAAAAAGAGAGGAGGATGGAGGGAGAGAATAAGGGGCCAGATGGAGAGGGAGGCTGTGTGTGAGGGGGGAAGGGATGGAGGGTCCAGATGGAGGGAAGAGAAGAGAGGGAATGTGTTGGGGGAGGAGAGACCAGGGGATGGGGAAGGACAAACATGTGTGTTTGTTGGGGGGGGGGGGACGCAATGCAAATAGAATTGAGTGTTGGGAGTAGGGCAGCAGGTTAGACTGCCCAGACATCGACCCTCATTGCGGCTTTGACCAATGTAACCACCCCTGGGGCTCTTCCGTTCCATTCACGTAACCACTTTTACCCCCTCCCCCACCTCCAATCCTTATTTCCATTCCTCTTCCCTCCTCTGGTGTCCATCACTTATATCTTTCCCCCTATATGGTGTCCGTTCCTTATGAGCGTCCCCCTTCTGTCCTTTCCCTATATCAGTCCCTTCTTTGCTGTCCATTCTCTCTCCCTCTCCTTTGTAGTAGCTCCCTTATATCTCTACCACCTCTTCACCCCGTCCTTCTTGACCCCCCTTGTCTTAATATTTCTATTAGGTCTACTTGATTTCCTCTGCCCTGTGTCCAGTTGGGCCCTTCTGGTATATTTCCTTGTCACTAGCAATTTGCCATCATTTCTACCTCTTCTCCTAGATCCATCCCTGTCATGTCCCCCAGCCCATCCTCTATTCCCTACCCCATTCCCCATCTTGTCACCACGAGTCTGTGTCTACACAATTTCCCCTAATACTCCAGCTCGTCACCCATTCCTCTTTTGTCTCCTCTACTTTTTGACTTGTTGGAGATTTGGGGTGAAAAGACACAGGTTTTGATGGTTGGAACAGGGACCACAAGAGACCTCCATCTGAGCCCTGTGTGATTTCCCATCCTTTCCCCTTTTCCAGCTGCGTTCCCCCGTCTCTTCCATCTGCCTCCCAGAATCATCCTCACTTAAGTGCAGACAATACGAATGTTTCCAGAGTTGCTTCTAAGCTAAGTTCCCTGTGTCCTTCCTGCTCCTTGGAAGAAGGTGCCCCTGAAGTCTAAGCTGCCTCCCTGTGGCTGTAGCCTGAACCAGTCCCTCCCATAATGGTTATGTGTATCAAACTAATTTGTCCTCTGGGGGTCTTCAGAGTCTGAGTGCATTGGGCATATTGCCTGCAGTGTCTGCAGCCTCAGAACCTTGGTCATCTCTGTATATAGAGGATATTGCTGATATCGTCCCTGAGATAGTAGTTTCAGTGTTTGGTGTTTTCCAGATATCTATAATCTGGAGACTCATCTCTGACTGACCTGTAGGTTGGGTAAATCTGAAGGACATGTTTGTGGACAGAAAGGGGCTAGATTTTTCAAAACTCTTTTACTTAGGGCATTCAGTTGGAATGAAGCTCAAAGATCAGTTTTTTCCCCCTGCAGTATACCCATGATTAATTATCCTGTAAAGGTGACAGAATTTGCTGTTTCTTCCTCTAAACTGTCTCACACTTTGATGCCTTAAGCCTCTTTTCTCTCACTTTGATATCACAAGTTTGATTTCTCTCTTCCATAGAGCCTGTCCCCTGTGTAGCATTGAGGTTTAAAGAAGAGGCCATATGCACAGCTGGTGGCATGGGAAGGACAGTAGAGCTGGGGAAGGGTGACCCTGGGGGCACCTCTGAGCATGGGCAATCCTTGGTCTACTGTTCTAGTTTTGTCTCCATCCCAAGCTCCAGGCTTTGGAGGCCCCCTTTATGTCACAGGCCTGGATCTTCCATTCTTTCCTCCCCTCTTTCTTCCTCACTGCACCTTGGGGAAGATTCCTATGTCCTTGGAATTGGCTTCCACACTGTCCATGGAGACTAGGTGGGGAGTGAGGGTATTGAATCTTTGATCTCTGAGCATGAAGTGGGGGAAGAGATCAATTCAGTCTCTACTCAAACAAGGACATACTTCCTACCTCCTCACTCCCAGCCCCTTCACAAGACCCATCTACCCTCTACCATCTGAAGAACCCAAAGGATGAGCAGAGTTGCACTAGGAGAAGAGGGAGCAGAGGATAGAGGAGGGGCAGGAGGGGAGGCCCACTCATATCCCTGACTCTGAAGAAGCTAGCTCCCTCACTCTCTTTTCCAGATGTCTAGCTCTCAGAATCTTAGGACCCACTTGTTCCCACACCATCCTCCTTCCCCACAGCAGTATAGCTTTCCTCTTACTCTTGCAGATGGGTCATACCCCTTCCAAGTTCTTGTCTTCTTCAGTTATTTGGATGCCCTCC